AGATTAGATTAGATTAGATTAGATTAGATTAGATTAGATTAGATTAGATTAGATTAGATTAGATTAGACTGTTGTTGCCATTGTACGTTGTGCTCCCACAGAGCACAATGAAATTACAGTTCATAAAACCCATTCAGAAGAAGACCGAACATAACAAACATGGGAGAACAGGTGCCCTGGGTCATGCTGCCACTGACCCTCCACAAAGCAAGGGTCAGTGCCAAAATTTCAATTTTCAAATAATATTTGAAGTTTCCTCTTTATAATGATATCCAAAATTCCTCATTAAAATAAATAAAATTAGGATTCAAACCAAATGTTTTTGTAACCAACAAGACAAATGAAGTCATATCTCTGGATCCACTTATGATATCAGGTAGCCTGGCCCTTGCCTTCCTATGCAGCTCCGCTCAATTCTAGTTTCCCCTCACTGCTCCGTCTGGGATTTCTCCCATAGACAAGGATTTCGCTGGCAGATTTTTAGCTGGGCCAACCAGAGAACAGAACGTCGATTTTCTGCTCAGTGTCTGCTTGTAGTTTATTTTACCTGGGCCAATCAGCAAACAGAAGGAGGAGTTTTGAATGACGTCGATGTTCTGCGCAGTGTTTGCTAGTTATTTTAGCATACGGCAGGAGGAAGTGAATGAACCCAGTCTGTAAAGCTTCCAAATTAAATTAAATTTGTCTGACAAAGCAGCAGCTCTCATTTACAGCCGTCCCGTTCGGCTCGGTAATTTTCTCCTCTCAGTAGGGTTGTTTACAGCGCACGCGATTTCCGGTTAGCTTCTTAGCTTAGCCTCCTTCACGGCGACACTTCAGCAGAGGCCACGCCTCCAGCAAGAATSGCTACTCTATGGCCACGAGTCCAGACCCTCATACGAAGCAAAGCGAAGAACAAGGGTCCGGTTTTTACCAGGCTAGATATCAGGATGATCCAGGTATRAAAATGTAGCTTTTCAAGCCAGAAATCTGAAAATGTGATGAGGTCATTTTGACCAAATTTGACTTAATCCACATTTCGATATGATGGGTCACGTGTTGAGGACGTAATGCTAATTTTTTAGCTCATAATTGCCTGAGTCGTTTGTGTGTTCTCAAATGTGGGATGGATGTGGCGGCCATCTTGGATTGGTTAAACTACAGGTTGCAGCTGTCCACCCTGTGATTATTTGCTGAAAGCTTCTACCACATCAAATTTTAGCTGGATATCTGCCTTTAGTAGTCATCTAAAAAAAAGTCTCAAAATGCCAGAGCAGATCTGACCTCCCTCCCTCCCTCCCTCCCCCAGCATCCCCTCACCGGTCCAGGCCGATGAGCAGGCGGCTCCTCTCCTCCTCCTTCTGGGCCTCGTTCTTCAGGTCGGCGAACACCTGGGTGAAGTAGTGCGGGTCGGAGTTGATCTGCAGCATCTTGGCGCTCATCAGCTCGATGATGGACAGGCAGCGGTCCCAGAACGCCTCCTTGGAGGACTCCACCAGGAAGGGCTTGAGCGGGTAGGAGATCTCGTTGCCCATGTAGGAGTAGGACAGGTAGAGGCAGGTGAGGAGCACGGCCTGCAGCTCGTGCTCCGTCTCCGCCTCGGAGGAGACCACGTCGCGGCACAGCATGTAGACGAAGACCACGTTGGCGGGCGTGATGAAGCCCTGGTCCTGCCAGCCCTGCAGCAGCAGGGAGCGGTCCACGCTGCGCAGCCACAGCACCGGGTCGGTGGGGGACAGGTGCTTCAGGCGGTAGCAGCGCCTGCACAGGAACTCCCCCAGGCAGCGCAGCAGCTCGCTGGTGGAGGCCTGCACGATCACCCGCTTCGGGGTCCCGGGGGCCACGTTGGAGTTGGCCAGGGGGGCCTTTTTGACGGAGGAGGTGGCGTTGTTGGAGCTCTTGGTCAGGGCCGGGGTGCTCTGGTCCTGGGCGAAGCTGGACAGGTTGGCGCAGGACTGGGACTTCTTCAGGTTCTCGTTGTTCAGGTGGGACACGTTGTTCTGGTGGGCACCGTTGGGCTGCACCTTCTTGGAGCTCTTCTTCTTGGCCGACACCGCCACGATCCGCTTCCATGGCAGCACATTGATGAGCGAGTGCCGCTTCAGGTTCTTGTCCTTGGCGTTCTTGCTGTTCTGGACGGCCGTGTAGTGGCCCACCGTGGCCGGCCCGTCCTCGAACAGGGCCGCCTTCCTGTAGCTGGGGGACAGGGACAGCACGGTGCCCATGGTGCCTGTGGGGGGCGGGGGTCCGGGAGCTTCGGGTTCAGAGGACTGCGAGCCAGAGAGGAGATCCTGGGGGTCTCAGAGCTGCTGGAGGGTCCCGGTCTACAGGCTGAGCATCTACAGGCCCGTCTGTACCTGCAGGAAGGACAGGAAACAAAACTCTGAATACTGAGTACCCAGTACATATCCTGTATTTACCCCGCAAGTACTGTGAAGGTACTTTGTAAATACCTTGTGAGACACCCCAAAGGTAACCGGTAAATACCCTGTGAGTATTTTATATGTACTCCATAAGTATCCTACTCTATATTTACTGAGTAATTACCTTGTAAAAACCCTGTAATCAGTTGTGAGTTACCTCATATGTTACCTTGTACATACCTTTACTCTACATTATTAGTACATTGTAGTATTGTTATGTACCTGATAAGTACTCTGTATGTTCCACATAAGCACTTATAATACCATGTAATTACTGTGTAATTTATCTGTACCTTGGAACTCTGTATTTTACTATTTGAACACCCTTTTTATCAGTACTATGTATGTACATTCTAAGTACCTCACGAGTATGTAGTTGTGTACCCCAGTAAATACAATGTATATGTATCATGTTAAATCCCATTTTATTGTGTAAGTACCCTGTTTTACCACCATAAGTACTCTGTATGTACCCTGTAAGCACACTAAATATCTTGTAGGTACCCTGGAAGTACTGCATTAGTGTCCTACAACTACCCTTTAAGTAATTTTATAGTACCTTGTTAGTACACTGTAATTAGCTTGAGTATATTGTTAGAACCCTGTAAGTACATTTATTGTATGTTGTAGGACACTGTAAGTACCCTTTAAGTACTTTAGTTGTACCATGAAAAAAACACTAAGTACCCTGTTAGTACCCTGTAAGCGCACTGATAGTATTCTGTATTTGTATAATACCCTGTGAGTACCTTGTTAATATTTTTGATAGTACCCTGTAAGTATTTTGATAGTATTTTGTAAGTACCCTGTTATATACCCTGTAAGTACACTGATGGTATTCTGTAAGTATTTTATAGTACTCTATAAGTAACTTGTTAATATTTTGATAGTACCCTGTAAATATTTTGATAGTACTCTTTAAGTACCCTGATAGTATTCTATAAGCACCCTGATGGTATCCTGTATAGTACCCTTCAAGTACCTTTATTGTATTCTGTAATTGCCCTGTAAGTACCTTGATTGTACCCTGATAGTATCCTGTAAGTACCCTGATAGCACCCTGATGGTACTCTACCGTTATACTACTGTTAGTACACTAATACTATTTTTTAAGACCTGATAGTACCCTGTTAGTATCCTGGTAGTACCCTGATAGTACCGTGATGGTACTCTGCCCTTATAGTACCCTGTTAGTACACTAATACTATTTTTAACACCTTGATAGTACCCTGTTAGTATCCTGGTAGTGCCCTGATAGTACGGTGACGGTACTCTGCCCTTATAGTACCCTGATAGTATTTTTCGTAGTACCTAGTACCCTGTAAAGACCTTGTTAAGCACTAGTTTCTGGTGTGTWAGCTTATTTTAGATGTTCAAGAACAGAAAGTTTAAGCAAAAATTAAAAGTGAAGCATTTTGTCAAAAGTTTCGATCTCTTTCTTTCMAAATGATTTATTTGTTTTGTGAAAATTCATTTTCTGAAATGTGATCATGAAATGTTCCCGGAGCATCAGAGGCACGTGGCTCAGTAAATCTGTTCATGCAGGAGCAGAAARCAGACAGGATTTTTCCTGCAGATCAAACATTCTGAAAATAAAATCGATCAGTTTCGATAATTATCTTCACGCAGAAACAGAAATCGTGAAAACATCTGAACAGCAGGGCCGACTGAAAATACATAAATATATATATAATTTAGTGCCCAGTGCCAACCCCCCACCCCCTCCCCCCGCGACTAAAATGGACGCAGAAACGTAAACAGCTCTTTAACAAACATGAAGGTCGCCTCTGATACAGAACTGATCAGATTTCAGCAGCGTTTMTTCTTATTTAAAATGAAATAAAACGATTATTTCATTGTTTTAACGGTGAATTCCAGAGACTGTTAATGATCCGACGAGCTTCATTCCATCACCATCCTGTTTTCCACCTGATCTCTGCCTCTGTGCGCAYAATCAGCGAAACAGAAATGATCAGACTCTGGGCCCTCCGGCTGGGAGCTCTCCGTGGTGCTGAAACGGTGCGTCCGAACCGGATCTGACACGCAGTGGCTTCAAATAATAACGTATTATTATTATTATTATTATTATTATTATTATTATTATTATTATTATTAGGCATCATCTGTTAATTTCAGTCATAATTCAGGCTATCATCCCGTTCCAGTTCTCAGATGTGTGATTGTTTTCAAGTCAAATTTGCGCAAAACGTCTGCAAAAATAATCCAGATAAACTCACCAGATCTCCACCTCAGGGAGGGAAAAAATCGCGTTGTCCTTTAAAAGGGCGCGTTTCAAAACGTTAAACCATCCCGAAGATTAGGAAAAATTAATCCAATCAGAGGCAGAAAAATAAAAAAAAAGGAACAGTAAAAAGGAAGAAGATCGAAGCAGCGGTGGATGGAGGCGCCTGCTGCCGCGCACACCGAGCCTGTGGGATGGATGCTCGGGTGGAGATGCGCTCCCGGTCCCGCAGGCTGTGAGATGCGGATGCTGCAGAGGCTGATGTTTCTGTCTCCGCGAGGACGGATTGACGCAAAGGCGGTGCTGAGAGACGCGCGCGCGCTGCGGTTTCTTCCTCCCTTCCGCAGAAACAGCGCCCCCRTGCTGACACGACCTCGGTGTGCAGCTGATGGAGCTCCAGACCTGAAGCACGAACTGATCAGCAGAGCAGGGGTTTAAAAAGCTGCAGTCAAGTTGAACTGCTGCTACACAATAATATATGAATATTATTGATTGACTTGTTATAACTTATGAGCAAATTAAATAGGCTATCATAAAAAAACAGCATTTTTTTAAATTTCTTAAGGACACATGGCAAATAGTGTCTCAGTGGTCTTGCACCATGTAAAAAACTGGTCACCTTTAATTACACAAGTGTCTTTGAAAGCAACTTTTATTGTAATAAATAATGTTTCAGATCCATGTACAATAAAAATAAATAAAATAAAGTAAAAGCAACAAGTAGAGCTTTAACCAAAATAACTGGGCGTGAAATAAGCTAATTTTTGTATTTTTAAATCGTCAGTAGATGCGATAAAATTGTTTTTATTTTTAAGACTTCATTTCCCATAATGCACCACGTAGTACGTGACGTACAGCGACGTAAGTCACGCTCGGCACCGTATTCCCGGCACGTAAATGTTCATTGAAGGTAGTATTTGAATAAGGAAGATGGCGGCTGCAGCAGTGGTTGAGTTTCAGAGAGCTCAGTCTCTCATCAGCACGGACCGAAACGCCTCTATCGACATCCTCCATTCAATAGGTGGGTTTTTATTCTTCCATTTCAGGTGGACAGTATTAATCTGATTTATTTTTTAAATATGTTTCTCAGTCTGTTTGGTGRGGGGCTGAACCGGTGCCGTGCTGACTCACTGTGTGTTGAACGGCGGCTAATTAGCTGCTAGCACCTTTACACACTTTTAGGCCTGACTTTGACATGTGTCAGTGACTAATTATTAAAACCGTTTTGTTTTTGAGAATATAATTCTGTTTTGTGTGCTTGTGTCATAATTTGAAGGTGTTTTTATGTTTAGCTGTCATGCTAGCATGCTGAGGCTAGCGCTGTTAGCCTGTTGTAATCTGAACACTGTGAAAAGGTTATCAGTGAGCGAGCCATGATTTTAATAGGACTTTTATGTTTATGTAGAATAATCCCTTAACATAAAGACTTGTTAACACAACTATACTCTTTATATGTTAATTGGGCTCTGCTGTCTTTCATTTTGCCGTGTCACAGCAGCCAAATGTGTTAACTTCTACTTTATTTACTTGTCAATCACGGATTATGTTTCATCTCTCACTGATTCTTCTTATTACTGGTGAATAGTGTATTTTGTAACCAAATGTAAAACCAAGGCATTTCTTAATCATAAAGCCTGATAATTAGTGATATAATGCTTAAAAATGTTAGCGATGTGTTTTGTAGTTTATGTTTTATAACTTCATGGGCAMTAAAAGCTGTTTTGGAGAAAACAGTTTATCCTCTAATTACTTTAAATCTAAAATTAAGGTACTCAAAACAATTAAAATATCACAGTTTACCTGACTGGTAATACCTTAACTACAAAATGACAAAGCTGTTTTTTTCAAATGTAACTTTTATTTGTTTTCTTTCTTTTAAAAGTGAGACGAGATGTTCAGGAGAACGACGAAGAGGCCGTCAGGGTCAAAGAACAAAGCATCCTGGAGCTGGGGACGCTCCTGGCAAAAACAGGACAAGCTGCTGGTAATGTTGTTGCTCTGAAACACTTTGCAGACTTTCTGGCATTAATTTGTTCACATAAATACAGGCCTGTTGTTGGACAAATTATTATACTGAAAGTAATGTTTGGAAGCAATAATGTCATTTAGGACAATGACAGTTGGTGACATTGTAGCTTTAGACACCCAAATAGGCTAAAGGTGATTTTTATTTATTTATTTTTTGTTTATTTTTAATAAGATATTACCTTTTTTTAAAAAATGAACCTTTTTTATTTTTAAATAATTAGTCATATGTCTTAATTTTCAAAACAAATGGATGTTTATATGGTTTTCTTTCTGCAGAGCTTGGGGGTTTGTTGAAATTCGTCAGGCCTTTCCTGATTTCCATCAGTAAAGCCAAGGCAGCCCGGCTCGTCCGCTCCCTGCTGGACCTCTTCCTCGACATGGAGGCGGCCACGGGGCAGGAGGTGGAGTTGTGTCTCGAATGCATCGAGTGGGCCAAGGCAGAGAAAAGAACCTTCCTGCGACAAGCTCTGGAGGTAAGACGGTTCGAAAATGGCGCCTTTTAACAGCGTTACCAGAATCACAAACTTCATCCACACATATAATCAGTTCAGTGTTGCTTTTCGATCTGAATTCAGACACGTTTTGGATGGAAGTTCAAAATGTAAATAATCCAAACTTATTTAGATATTTATATGTTGGACATTTACTCAAGCAGCACTGTTTTTTATTTATTTACTCTTTATAAATCAGCTGTTTTTATTCCCTGTCGTACACCGATCCACCTATCAGAGTGCCTCACAGGCTGCAGAGGAAAGAATCAAATACCACTGAGTCACAGCAGCCTCTCTGCTGGTGGATTTGTTCTTGTCACTTAGTTCTGCTGCTATAAAACCCAAACTCTGACCAACGCTATTTGAAACCAACAACAACGGTGCCMCTGCTTCAGATGGGATTGATTTCTTTAACGCTCTGACTCATGGAGCGGACGACGCTCTCATTTCAGACTGAAAGTGGYGGAGCATTTAGTGTCTGTTGCAGCGTCACTCTGTGAGAAAATTYAAACTGAAAAGTTTATTTTTCATGGAGCAAACCTGTAAACTGTGCCAGGCAACTTGAAGCAGATTTACCCGATGACCTCATGCTGAAGCAAAACATCGTGACCAACTGTTTCCTGTTCAGGGCTTGAAATAAATGAAGTTTTTAATGGTGTTATGATGAGGAAAATGGATGCTTTTGTGAAAGATAAGGTCTAGATCACATGTGTCAAACACAAGGTCTGTGGGCCAAATGTGGCCCGCGGGTGACTCCCGTGTAGCCCGCCAGGGGGGTACCCCCGACCCCAATTATTTATTTATTTTTTATTTTATTTATTTATTTATTTTT